GCCCCAAAAAAATGGATACTGGTGTCGTACATATTGCATTCTTTCAGTAAACTCTTACTTAACTGTGATTGGTGGAATAAGAGGTAACGTCATCAAATTACAGCCAATAGGAAAACAGAGCAACCAGTCAGCACAACACCCCAACTTATGCTTTGCTGTTGGATATTTATTCTCCATTTCATTGTTCAAGTTGCGATAATACTGAAAATGCTATGGGCAGTGTGTATTTTGTTAACATCATATCTCCCAGAGTTTAAAATAATTGACGAGAATAAATATCAGCAGCAAAGCATAAGTTGGGGGTGTTGTGCTATTTAAACGTTTATCTGTTCTCCTATTGGCTGTGTAATTTTATGAGTCTTTATCTTACTCCACCAATCACGTTTAAGTAAGGGATTACTGGACGAATGCAAAATGTACGACAAAAATATGAAGTTCTTGGGGTAAAGCTGCATGTGGAAGGGCCCCTGGGGGCGCCGTCGCCCCTGGCAGAGATCCTGCCGCCCCTGGAAAGACACCCACTGCCACTAGGAGGGGGCCACTGCTCCCAGGGACCCTGCCAACGCCTGTGGCTCACAATAGGTCCTCCTAGGGGAGGCGGCGCCCCAAAAAAATGGATACTGGTGTCATAAATATTGCATTCTTTCAGTAATCTCTTACTTAACTGTGATTGGTGGAATAAGAGGTAACGTCATCAAATTACAGCCAATAGGAAAACAGAGCAACCAGTCAGCACAACACCCCAACTTATGCTTTGCTGTTGGATATTTATTCTCCTTTTCATTGTTCAGGTTGCGATAATACTGAAAATGCTATGGGCAGTGTGTATTTCATTTAACATCATATCTCCCAGAGTTTAAAATAGTGAAACGAGAATAAATATCCAACAGCAAAGCATAAGTTGGGGTGTTGTGCTGACTGATTGCTCTGTTCTCCTATTGGCTGTAATTTTATGACGTCACATCTTACTCCACCAATCACGTTTAAGTAAGGGATTACTGGACGAATGCAAAATGTACGACAAAAATATGAAGTTCTTGGGGTAAAGCTGCATGTGGAAGGGCCCCTGGGGGCGCCGTCGCCCCTGGCAGAGATCCTGCCGCCCCTGGAAAGACACCCACTGCCACTAGGAGGGCGCCACTGCTCCCAGGGACCCTGCCAACGCCTGTGGCTCCCAATAGGTCCTCCTAGGGGAGGCGGCGCCCCAAAAAAATGGATACTGGTGTCGTAAATATTGCATTCTTTCAGTAATCTCTTGCTTAACTGTGATTGGTGGAATAAGAGGTAACGTCATCAAATTACAGCCAATAGGAAAACAGAGCAACCAGTCAGCACAACACCCCAACTTATGCTTTGCTGTTGGATATTTATTCTCCTTTTCATTGTTCAGGTTGCGATAATACTGAAAATGCTATGGGCAGTGTGTATTTTATTTAACATCATATCTCCCAGAGTTTAAAATAGTGAAATGAGAATAAATATCCAACAGCAAAGCATAAGTTGGGGTGTTGTGCTGACTGATTGCTCTGTTCTCCTATTGGCTGTAATTTTATGACGTCACATCTTACTCCACCAATCACGTTTAAGTAAGGGATTACTGGACGAATGCAAAATGTACGACAAAAATATGAAGTTCTTGGGGTAAAGCTGCATGTGGAAGGGCCCCTGGGGGCGCCGTCGCCCCTGGCAGAGACCCTGCCGCCCCTGGAAAGACACCCACTGCCACTAGGAGGGCCCCACTGCTCCCAGGGACCCTGCCAAGGCCTGTGGCTCACAATAGGTCCTCCTAGGGGAGGCGGCGCCCCCAAAAAATGGATAATGGTGTCGTACATATTGCATTCTTTCAGTAATCTCTTACTTAACTGTGATTAGTGGAATAAGAGGTAACGTCATCAAATTAAAGCCAATAGGAAAACAGAGCAACCAGTCAGCACAACACACCAACTTATGCTTTGCTGTTGGATATTTATTCTCCTTTTCATTGTTCAGGTTGCGATAATACTGAAAATGCTATGGGCAGTGTGTATTTTATTTAACATCATATCTCCCAGAGTTTAAAATAGTGAAACGAGAATAAATATCCAACAGCAAAGCATAAGTTGGGGTGTTGTGCTGACTGATTGCTCTGTTCTCCTATTGGCTGTAATTTTATGACGTCACATCTTACTCCACCAATCACGTTTAAGTAAGGGATTACTGGACGAATGCAAAATGTACGACAAAAATATGAAGTTCTTGGGGTAAAGCTGCATGTGGAAGGGCCCCTGGGGGCGCCGTCGCCCCTGGCAGAGATCCTGCCGCCCCTGGAAAGACACCCACTGCCACTAGGAGGGCGCCACTGCTCCCAGGGACCCTGCCAACGCCTGTGGCTCACAATAGGTCCTCCTAGGGGAGGCGGCGCCCCAAAAAAATGGATATTGGTGTCGTAAATATTGCATTCTTTCAGTAATCTCTTACTTAACTGTGATTGGTGGAATAAGAGGTAACGTCATCAAATTACAGCCAATAGGAAAACAGAGCAACCAGTCAGCACAACACCCCAACTTATGCTTTGCTGTTGGATATTTATTCTCCTTTTCATTGTTCAGGTTGCGATAATACTGAAAATGCTATGGGCAGTGTGTATTTTATTTAACATCATATCTCCCAGAGTTTAAAATAGTAAAACGAGAATAAATATCCAACAGCAAAGCATAAGTTGGGGTGTTGTGCTGACTGATTGCTCTGTTCTCCTATTGGCTGTAATTTTATGACGTCACATCTTACTCCACCAATCACGTTTAAGTAAGGGATTACTGGACGAATGCAAAATGTACGACAAAAATATGAAGTTCTTGGGGTAAAGCTGCATGTGGAAGGGCCCCTGGGGGCGCCGTCGCCCCTGGCAGAGATCCTGCCGCCCCTGGAAAGACACCCACTGCCACTAGGAGGGCGCCACTGCTCCCAGGGACCCTGCCAACGCCTGTGGCTCACAATAGGTCCTCCTAGGGGAGGCGGCGCCCCAAAAAAATGGATACTGGTGTCGTAAATATTGCATTCTTTCAGTAATCTCTTACTTAACTGTGATTGGTGGAATAAGAGGTAACGTCATCAAATTACAGCCAATAGGAAAACAGAGCAACCAGTCAGCACAACACCCCAACTTATGCTTTGCTGTTGGATATTTATTCTCCTTTTCATTGTTCAGGTTGCGATAATACTGAAAATGCTATGGGCAGTGTGTATTTTATTTAACATCATATCTCCCAGAGTTTAAAATAGTGAAACGAGAATAAATATCCAACAGCAAAGCATAAGTTGGGGTGTTGTGCTGACTGATTGCTCTGTTCTCCTATTGGCTGTAATTTTATGACGTCACATCTTACTCCACCAATCACGTTTAAGTAAGGGATTACTGGACGAATGCAAAATGTACGACAAAAATATGAAGTTCTTGGGGTAAAGCTGCATGTGGAAGGGCCCCTGGGGGCGCCGTCGCCCCTGGCAGAGATCCTGCCGCCCCTGGAAAGACACCCACTGCCACTAGGAGGGCGCCACTGCTCCCAGGGACCCTGCCAACGCCTGTGGCTCACAATAGGTCCTCCTAGGGGAGGCGGCGCCCCAAAAAAATGGATACTGGTGTCGTAAATATTGCATTCTTTCAGTAATCTCTTACTTAACTGTGATTGGTGGAATAAGAGGTAACGTCATCAAATTACAGCCAATAGGAAAACAGAGCAACCAGTCAGCACAACACCCCAACTTATGCTTTGCTGTTGGATATTTATTCTCCTTTTCATTGTTCAGGTTGCGATAATACTGAAAATGCTATGGGCAGTGTGTATTTTATTTAACATCATATCTCCCAGAGTTTAAAATAGTGAAACGAGAATAAATATCCAACAGCAAAGCATAAGTTGGGGTGTTGTGCTGACTGATTGCTCTGTTCTCCTATTGGCTGTAATTTTATGACGTCACATCTTACTCCACCAATCACGTTTAAGTAAGGGATTACTGGACGAATGCAAAATGTACGACAAAAATATGAAGTTCTTGGGGTAAAGCTGCATGTGGAAGGGCCCCTGGGGGCGCCGTCGCCCCTGGCAGAGATCCTGCCGCCCCTGGAAAGACACCCACTGCCACTAGGAGGGCGCCACTGCTCCCAGGGACCCTGCCAACGCCTGTGGCTCACAATAGGTCCTCCTAGGGGAGGCGGCGCCCCAAAAAAATGGATACTGATGTCGTAAATATTGCATTCTTTCAGTAATCTCTTACTTAACTGTGATTGGTGGAATAAGAGGTAACGTCATCAAATTACAGCCAATAGAAAAACAGAGCAACCAGTCAGCACAACACCCCAACTTATGCTTTGCTGTTGGATATTTATTCTCCTTTTCATTGTTCAGGTTGAGATAATACTGAAAATGCTATGGGCAGTTGTTTTTGTGCTATTTAGAACTCTGGTAGATGCGAATACAACGCCCATCATAACATTTTCAGTATTATCGCTTCCTTAACAACGGAATGGAGAGTAATATCCAACAGGAAAACATAAGTTGGGGTGTTGTGCTGACTGACTGTTCTCTTCTCCTATTGGCTGTTATTTGGTGGTTATATATTTTAGTCCACCAATCACATTTAAGTAAGGAATTGATGGACGTATGTAATATGTATGACGCCATGACCAAGTATGCTATAAGGCCCCTGGAAGTGCGGCTCCTAGAATGTCTCAGGCGTCCCCACTGCCTTTGGGGGCGTCCCTGGGGCCCGCACCACCCTTGAGAGGGTCCCAGGTGCCCCAGCCGTCCCTGGGAGGTTACATGGTGAATCCACCGTTCCTGCGAGTGTCCAAGGGGCCCCCGTAGTCCCTTGGATTTTGATCATAGCAAATGAGAAATTCTGACCAAAAACAGGAAATTTTTATCATATTATATGGATAATTGGGACAACATAAGGGGCGATGTGTTTTTCTTAGGAGATATAAATACAATGAAAAGTATGTATTGTTTTATTTACCTGGTACAATTGAGTTATTACAAACAGTTGCAATGGTTGTTAATGCCACCAGAGGCTGTCATTGTTAAAAACTGTGTGGCTCTTCACAACTAGCAAACTCATAACAGCCCTTGGTAGACTCTCACAGACCATGGGGATCTTATATATAGTCTCCAGCCCCTGGTAGTCTCCCATAGGTCCTGGCATCGTCACAAGCCCCCTTGGAGCATCAATGAGCCCCCTCAGAGCCACAAGTAGCTCTCAAAGAGCCTCACACATCCCAAAGTTGCCACAAACAGCCCCTAGTCGATTTACTTAGCCCTTAGTGACCGTACGTAGCCCCTAGTGGCCGTACGTAGCCCCTAGTGACCGTACGTAGCCCCTAGTGGCCGTACGTAGCCCCTAGTGGCTGTATGTAGCCCCTAGTGGCCATACGTGGCCCGTAGTGGCCGTAAGTAGCCTCTAATGGCATCAGAAAGCCCCTGACCGCCATACATAGTCCTTAAATTCCTTATACAACTTTCTATGAGCAACACACAGCCCCTGCCGGCCTCTCATACACCCTGGGGGGCCCTCACACGGCCACTTGCAGTGACACACTGCCGCAGAAAATAACTATTTCTAACGTGAACAATATACAGGTATACAGTACAAAAATTATACAATTACTAAAGTTTGTCCACAAAGGAAAAACTCCTTGTTTACAAAGAAGTTGTAAAGATGTAATACTATTACTTACTGAAAATAAAGTAAATTGTTGAACTAGTTAAATATTCTGTTATGAAATTAAAATACTGTACAAAATGATAATGTTAAAATCAGCAATGTTATGACATTGTTGATCAATATTTTGTACATCACAAGGAGTCCTTTCCTCACTCCGACATAGCACAATCAGTCCTTCTCTCTCCTACACAACACAGAGTTGTTTCCTCACTCCTACGTAATTCAATGAGTCCTCCTCTCACTCCTACACAACACAGTGAGCCCTTCTCTCAGTCCTATACAATACTGCTACAGTAGACGGTTGATAAACATCTTAATACACTAATACAATCTGTTTTAGTATTTATGTGGACGTATCCAACCAACATTTACTCCTACACGATACATCTTCCTGTTATGTAGGGTAGACTGTCTCTCTTGAGGCATATTCATCTTTTTCTGTACTCTTGATCGTTTCTCTTGTCCATATTGATGGTGCTTCGTCATCTGGACACCAAGTTATGGTTCCCATCCTCCATGGAGACGTATTTTCAGTTTGTATCTGTAAAATGAATATTTTATTAGCCAAAAATAGTAATGTTATTAATATATTGCTTGTGATAGGTTCTTGACATGCGAGTACACCACATCACACTCCTCTCTCCTGTACACCATCAGACACTCCCAACTATATAGTTTAGAAACATGTTTACCCACTTGTAAACCTGTATGACAATTTTACTGAATAATAATAATAATAATAATAATAATAATAATAATAATGATAATAATAATAGTAATAATTATTACTATTATTATTATTAGTAATAGTATTAGTATTATCTTTATTATCACATGCATTACCTGTTTAAAATGCCACATATATTGGCCTTCAACAATGACCCTGACCTCTTGATAAACTTATTTCCTCTTCTATACTTCGTCTGGGCAACAGTCAATAATATCCATAATTCAGGCAACGTTTTCAGTCTGGTAACAGAACTTTTATATGTTTATGTGTCTTAGCCATGATTGTGAAACTCATTACAGTATAAATTATACAATGCTGTACAATACTCACTTTCCCCTCATCTTCAGACCACCACCAGCCATTGCCGTAACCCTCTGCACAATATCCCACATTTCTTTTTATCCTGTCAGTGGAGGACCGGTCATCAACTTGGGTAATTCTGAAAATTATATTCACATTAGCTATAAACCATATGGTCAGTAACAACATCAATACTGTACACTCTAGTGGCCACTTCTGATGGTTAGGTAACTGCTGTGGGGGGGGGGGGGAACTAATTATCCAGTGAATTCCTGACAGGTTGTGGTATGAAGGAAATTAGACTTTAAAACATTTATACGGAAGCTACTGAAATACTATTGAGAGCAAGAATGAACTCTGGTAGATTTATGTATTTTAAGTGATCTAAAATCTCATATTAAGTATCTGCAGAATCATGAACCTTGTTATACTTCAGTACAAAACTAAGGTATTCGGTCAGGCGTATTTTTCACCCAAAACGACATTTTTTGGGGAAAGTGAAAGCTAACATGTTTATATTGTAAAGATAGTCAGGTGTCTAGACAAAACAAAGTTCCCTGGCTTTTCCAGTTTTTCCAGGTATAAGTTTTGGAAATTTTCAGGTACATCAATTTGGTATTTATTACGACAGAATAACAAAATTAGAAGTTTTCAGTAATATGTATATACTATTTGGAAATTTAAAGATGATATAAATTATATTAATCGAGAAATTGAGGCCCTTTCGTGCCCCACCCAAGCCGAGTGATGAACATTGGCAAAGACCTTGACACCCCCCCCCTCCCATATTTTCTCCACTGATTTGTGTGATTCACGTGGGTCGACCTGGACGTTCCCAAAAAGCCGGAAATGCGGCAAAAACCGAAAATCACACTCCTGATCCACCTACATGACCCATAATTAATATGTGGAATAATATATTTAAATAAAATCACTTAAATATAAGAACAATTCATCTCTGACAATAATCATTGCAGAATTAGTTGGTATAACCTGTAATATTTGGTTATTTGATCACTAACATGAAACATGATATGTACATAAACAATTCAGTTATTGGAGTGAACTATTTACTGGAATTTGCTCCTAATAGTTTAATTATTTACCTATTATAAAGTACATCATCAATTTATGGTAAGTTTGCTGTCAAAATAACAATATTTAGAAGTTAAACTGAATTCACAGACAATTCCAGGTTTATTTGTAAAATTTCCTGGCTTTTCCAGGTTTTCCAAACCAATAGACACCCTGTATTAGATAAGTCTCAGGTGATCAAGGGCTTAGACTTGGGTGTCTCAGGTGTGTAAAATGGCGTCATATTTACCCCGAGACTCTACGATTACTTGATTCGTTTACTTTGCCACAGTTAAGGCATTAAATCTCCAACACAAGTAATCTCCAACACAGGTAATCTCCTTCAACACAGGTAATCTCCTTCAACACAGGTAATCTCCTTCAACACAGGTAATCTCCTTCAACACAGGTAAACTCCAACACAGGTAATCTTCTCCAACACAGGTAATCTCCTTCAACACAGATAATCTCCTTCAACACAGGTAATCTCCAACACAGGTAAACTCCAACACAGGTAAACTCCTCCAACATACTAATTAAGTATCACAGGTCACAAAAAGTTATAATTCCGGAAATTAATCTTGATAACGACTCTTGAAAGTATTTTATATATATTTGTACCAATTAATTACTCCATGACCAAAAATTCTGAACCAGGTAAATATATCAATTACAGTTCCTATATTTTTGACCTAAAAGTAAGTAACCCAATTATTATGGAATATTTTCTTTTAATAAACTAAAATCGTCCAAAATTTCATCGTGTGGCAATAGTTCCTGAGACAAAATAGTATAATTCTCGTAATTAGTCTCGCTAATGACCCTTGAATTAATATCACTCGTTGTCTTCCGCTAATTACTCCCACCCATTATTTTTTCTATTGTTTTATTTGACCTGTTATGATTGTTGTTATGTTATGTTGTTTTATATGTGTGTGTGTGTGTGTGTGTGTGTGTGTGTTAGGTTATGTTTAATTAGGTTAGGTTAGGTTCCAAGTAGGAGAGGGGGATAGACGGAAAGGACTGAGGAAGGGAGGGACAGACACCCACCAAGCACCGGCCTGAAAGAAGACCCATCTAACATGACATTGAAGAAGCAACCATTGGTATCCCTCCCCTTACCAACCCCCCTAACCCCACCCCCACACGGCATCAATACCGACATCGCAAGACAAAGTGTATAGCAGAACGGGTATAGCGCGGCGATATAGCAGGACGATACAGTGGCTTGACAGGTATCCGCTCCTGCGACAACGGGCCCTCCGTATCCGGGCTGAGCCATATTGGTTGTAAATGTCCCGCTCGGTTCTCAACATGTCGCTTATTCGGCCGTAAAGAAGGTGGAGCCTCCATGTGGGTGTCATCTGCCCCCGCGCAATACCTACCCCATTATATATCACGCCTTTTATACCCTCCACTATTGGATTTTGTTGTCAATGCATTTTACGAAAAAAGGACAGAGATAGAAAGAAAAAAAAAGCTTTCTTGGCTTTTTTTTCCAATTTTTGTTATAACTCACGAACGAGGAATAAGAGGAGCTAGGCAAAGATATACACAAAGTATATCTCAAAATTTCTATATTTGCGTCTATGAGATTTTGTTTGTCAATGCTTTGTGGATTTACGAAAAAGGACAAGAGAAGGAAATAAACATGTTACCCCTGACAGCATATCCATTTTCTACTACGGATCGTGTACGAGGAATAAGGGAAAATTCCTTCCCCTCTCCTTCTCTCCCTCACCCCCTCCATTCCTCCCTCACCCCCTCCGTTCCTCCCTCGCCCTCATCCCCTCTCCCCCACCCTACTCCCTCTCTCCCACATCCCTTCCTTCACTCCGTCACCTCATCTCCCCCCACCCTACCCCCTCTCTACCCCACCCTTTCCCTCTTTACCCCACCCTCTCCTACCTCCCTCACCCCCTCTCCCCTCCCTCACCCCTTCTCTCTGGCGTAGACATGATGGACATTTTTCCCTGCACCTCCCTACATATGATATAGCATTATGGCTCTGTACTGTGTGGGTAAAATTAGTATACTATAGCCATCAGCAGGTTATGATCTATAGTGTATGTGAACGAACTCGAGTCTGCCCTCACATTTATCACGACAAACTGGAAAATAACACATTCATATTCTTAAAGATTCATTTATATCCGGCAAAATTATGTTTGATCTAAGGGATATATTTATACATTTTTTGTGCAATTTTTTTTCGTATTTTTCCGTTAATTTCTTTGTTTGTTTTGGTTTTCTCGGCGGTGTATATATATCAGTAGCTAAAACACCTGAAAAACAACAATAACAACCACTACAACAACAAAAATAACAATAACAGCTACAATAACAAAAACAAAAATAACAACTACTACAACAAAAACAACTTATTTCTTCCTTTTTTATAAATTAATTTTCCCATAACCTTTACGGCAAGCTTTACTGGACCATATCTTACCCACGACACGTACAATGGGTGTAGTCTGTGTAACACCCAGGTGAAGTATTGGAACACTTACACCTGCTAGATCACACCACACTTACACCAACACACACACACATACACAAATTAGCTGGCGTTAGTGTTTGTTGTTGTTGTGACTTGTTGTTTGTTTTCTTCTTGTTTTTGTTATTTTCTTTGCTCTATTTGATGTTTTTCTATGTATTTTATTTATTACAGAGATCAGTATGTTTATCAGGTGAAGAGAAGAAGGAGGAGGAGGAGGAGGAGGAGGAGGCAGTAATACCAACGCGAAGGGGACAGCAACAACAGCAAGGAAAAGTAAGCACCAACACATCACCAACACATCACCAACACAGCCCCAACCCGGCCAGGCATCAAGGGGAGAACACAAGTCACGTTACCTCATTTCCGACGAAAATTCCCAGAGAAAACGGGGCGTTGATGGAACAATGAGAGGGCGGCCGGGCTTACCTCACCCCCTCCCTCACCGGCCCTACCCCACCCTACCCCACCCACACCCACCCTACCTCACCCACACCCACCCTACCCCACCCACACCCACCCTACCTCACCCAAAATATCTCCCTAAAACACTACACTTCTGTCATATCATTTATAACTGATCCCTACACCCCACTGCTTAGGATAATTCTCGAAATATATCCCCAGAACCGGATAGATTACAAGAAGAAATACATATATACGGATAAGAAATCTAAAAAGGGGCATTCGCATTTTCGTGGCTCCTCATAAAACTGGATTCAACCAACTCCCACCCTAGGAGTTTCGGATAATATAAACAGATACTCGGGAACCGGATAGATTTTTCTGGTACTTTATAAACCGCAATAACCTAGAAGCCTTATATCTCTCTTCCTGGAACCTGAGCCGGATTTATTGAGCTCCCCAGAGAATAGAGGACGGACCCTGGATAGAACAGATGACTAGCCGGATAGAATATAGGACATGGCCGGATATAATAGAGAGGTTATTGTGCTGGGTGATCTGCCCCTAACGAACTGTAAGATGAACTACTCGTTATTACCGACTTCAAAACTAACGAGGTTCTTCCCCTACTGCAATGGATAAGAGATTTCAGGGGTTTTGTCTGAGCCCAGGGTGCATAGTGTGGCCCTATGGTTCATAGTGTTGGCATTGTGGTGCATAGTGTGGCCTTGTGGTGCATAGTGTGGCCCAGTGGTGCGTACTGTGGCCTTGTGGTAAGCACTGTGGCCTTGTGGTAAGTACTGTGGCCTTGTGGTAAGTACTGTGGCCTTGTGGTGAGTACTGTGGCCTAACCTAACCCCTAATCTAGTCCACCCTGCTTTCTTACATGCTATAAAGTGAAAGTGACAAGTAGTGTTTTGATAGTGATGTTGCCGCCAATTTCCTCGAGTTAGATCAATTTCTCCAACGTAACAACCAATTTCCCGAGACACAATCAATTTCGTGGACACAATAATCAATCCTTTCACTAAACAATTTTGTAAGTACAGCAACCAATTTCTATAACAACTAATTTTGATAACAACCAATTTTTATAACAACCAATTTATACAACCAATTTCTATAATAACAAATTTCTATAACAACCAATTTCTATAACAACCAATTTCTACAACATAAAATAAATACAATATTGATTTTTTATAACTGAACAAAAAATATTGTGACTTAATAAACTGCGTTATATTAAGCTTGTATAATGATATAAAAACATTGTAGGTAATTTGGACTATAGTTTAGCAGACAAATCAACCAAACAAGCAGACAAATCAACCAAGGAAGCAGACAAATCAACCAAGGAAGCAGACAAATCAACCAAGGAAGCAGACAATGAACCAAGGAAGCAGACAAGCCAGGAAGTAGACAATCAAGCGGGCAGTCAAGCACAAGTCGACACAAGGTTTAGCAAAGTTACTTAAACTGCAGGAGACGGAGCAGGCAATCCTCACTGCCTGACGGAGGTAAATAGAGGAGCCGCGGGGGGATGAATACCTAATGACGTCACGCCTGCAGCAGAGGGGGAGGGGGGTGCGAGGGCAAGGTAGAGAGGGGAGGGAAAAGGGGTAGGGGAAAGAGAGGAGGGGGAGGATTAGACAGTCAGTGACGAGGATAAGGAAGGGGAGGTAAGGGGTAATGGGAAAGTGAGAGTGAAAAAGGAATGCAAGACGGATGGGAGAGGGAAGGGGAGTGAGAGGGAGCCTGAGGGAGATATGAAAAATGGGAAAGGAGGGGGATGGGGAGGGAGAAGCCTGTGGCCAATGACAAAGGGGAGGTATAGCAGTTGATAAAGGAGGAGGGGGGGTGGTTGGTGAACGAGGGAAAGTAACTAGAGAGGGAAGAGGAACGGTAAATAGAGAAAATAAACAATAATAAGGGAGAATAGGGTAACCAGGGTGTCAGAGTGGTGAGGAGGGTGACCACACGCAGATGGTAGTCGTACGGGGACACACACACACACACACACACACACACACACACACACACACACACACACACACACCAATACTTAATACCACCACACATTACACAGTCAACGTCACTATATAAAACTCGAGCTTTCAGTTACTTCCCCTTAATAAACTTTTAACCATTATAATTATGAGTATTACCTGGAGACTAATGGAGGAATAATAAGCCTCAGGTAGGTAATCAGCCTCAGGTGTCTGGTTATAGGTAAATCATGGGAGGTTAATTAACAATGGAATTTATTATACCTGGGGGTCAGATGAAGGGCCTGGGAGGGTACTGGAGATAAGGGGGGTAGGGTGAAGTATCTGAGGGAGAGAGAGAGTGTGGAGGGATGGGAGAGGGAGTGAGGAGGGAGAGAAGAGAGAGGGACTAAGAAGGAGAGAAAGGACTAAGGAAAAGAGTAGGGAGGAGAGTAAGTAAAAGAAAGGAGGAGGAGGAGGGGATAGGGAAAGGAAAGCAGGAAGGGGATAGAGGAAAAAGTGGAAAAGGGAAGGATAGGAGGAATAGGAAGGGAATGATGAGGGCAAAGGTAGGGGAAGGAAGAGGAATCAAGAATAACAATACCTGACACAGCAACAACAGGACAGAGTGTGATGTGTTACTCTTGACGACAATAGCACCAGGGAGGGAGTGTGTGTGTGTGTGTGTGTGTGTGTGTGTGTGTGTGTGTGTGTGTGTGTGTGTGTGTGTCTGTGTGTGTGTGTGTGTGTGTGTGTGTGTGTGTGTGTGTGTGTGTGTGTGTGTGTGTGTGTGTGCGTGCGTGTCTGTGTGTGTGTGTGCACTCACGTCCGCCCCCGGGAGGCCGACCCTGAAGCACCCACTCCGTCAGCAACCCACAAAGGGCTCGCCCTCTCCTCCAGTCGATGAGTTAAGGCGATTGGCGGGGACCCTGGCCGTGATAAGGCGTGACAATGGCGGTACCTAGGCAGAAGAAAAAAAAATATGAGTGAGAGAGAACAAGAGAGAGAACAAGAGAGAGAACAAGAGAGAGAACAAGAGAGTGAGAGAGATACAAGACAACCAAACAAACATTAAACAACGGGAGAAAAAAGTATCCAAACAACTAAACAACCAGGTAAGATACACAGACAATCAGACAGACGACCTAACAGACAGACAGACGGGAGGACAGCAGGTGCGTGTAGCGGAACAATCATAGCCAACAGGAAGACCATCCCACCCCCCCTTGTGATCTACTGTTGATTGTAAATTATTGTTTATATAAGAGACCAAATTAAACAAGGTAGGAGTTAGATAATGTATACCTGTGTGTGTGTCAGCGTGTGTGGGGGCGAGAGTCCGTGTGTTTAGGGGGGGGTGGGGGGTCGCCATTTTATCACTGAGAAGGAAGTAAATAGCTTTTTTTTATTCATTTTTTTTACATAATTATAAATGCGTGAATCAGATTACAACTTTAGATCGTAAACACTTATATAGACACAGAGAGAGAGAGCATCTGATTGGCTAACTCGCTATCCAGAGAGACACGGGAGGGAGGGAGAAAGGGAGGGAGAGAAGAAGGGAGAAAGGGAGGGAGGGAGGGAGAGAAAGAGGGAGGGAGGGAAAAAATATCATACAGCCATACTTCTTATTTTCATTTCATTCAAATATTCATTATATAACGTAATATAGATTATGTGCTCATATACAGAAATTATATCACGACCATTAATTAATTTCACAGCTAAACTCCTGGTATAATTACTTACACAAACACCAACTTAATTAATTATTTGTACGTCAGACCAGAGAGACAACTGTAGTGACGTAAATAACATTTTTTTGTGATTTATTTGGATGACTAAATCACAAATGACGCAGTGACTGAAGGTGTGTGTTTTCTGACCAAGAACAGGTGTGTATGTTAACTGACCAAGGACAGGTGTGTATGTTAACTGACCAAGGACAGGTGTGTATGTTAACTGACCAAGGACAGGTGTGTGTGTGTTAACTGACCAAGGACAGGTGTGTGTGTTAACTGACCAAGGACAGGTGTGTGTGTGTTAAATGGTGTTAAATTAGGAAAGTGGAATGTGTTTTATGTTACTTAATGCTTCAATTATGTAAGTATGTGAGATTGTATTTATCTATTTGTCTATTAATCTATCTATCCAGCAACCATCCAGCCATCATCGCTTCATGACTCACCCACCCACCCATTAACACATCAACCTTCCACTCTTCCATCCTTTCATCATCCTTCCAACTAACCATCCACCTATCCACCCATCAATCATCCATCCACTAAGCCATCCATCAACCATCCACTCAGCCATCCGTCAACCATCCACTCAGCCATCCATCCCTCCTCTATCATACAGGTTATACATCAGCTGGACCTGCCGACAACCCATTTTTTTTTTCACTCCAACAAAAATTTCGGAATCGCCATTAATCAGCGTTATCGGCTCTCTCTCTCCCTCCCCCCTTCCCTTTCCCTCCCTCCTTCCTTCTTCCCTTTACCTCCTTCCCTCACTGATATGAACTGTATAGGAAAAGAAGACAACAGTTTAGATCAGTGGTGTCAAACTTAAAACCTATCGAGGGCCAATTCTTATTTTAGTTATCCTCTTCACGGCCAACACAAGTGCTATATCACATATTTGCAGGATTGAAGTTTACAGCTTCACACATTGCCTTACCTGGGTTACCAGGAATACCTCATTTGGGTTTGTCTGATCTTAAGTATGTAAAATTCATTTTACTAAATAAACATGATTATATCTATTTCTTTCATAATTTCACGGGATTATAAATTGTACCGTCATCCAGCGGGCCACACCTGGCCATTCCAGGGGCCACATTTGGCCCGCGGACCATGAGTTTGACACCCCTGTCTAACACCTTACAAAATTTTTGACCATAATATACTTTCTCCTCAGAATTGAAATTTAAGGGGTTTAACTAATTAAGTACAATCAGAATAACACACAAACCCTAAATCACACCTTGGAAACCCATAGTTGATGAGTAATTAGCATTGAAAAATGTCAGTAAAATCATTCAAGGGTCATTTTGGCCACTTATTACTCTGCAATCGAATCGTGGACCACAAAGTCATAATCAGCAAGCTCAGGAGTACCCATACTGTGATTTTCAGCAAAATCTAATTTTTGGCTAAAAACCACCAAAAAATGTAAGTCTATCACCTTACAAAATTTTTGACCAAAATATACTTTTTTCTCAGAATTGAAATTTAAGGGGTTTAACTAATTAAGTACATTCAGAATAACACACAAACCCTAAATCACACCTTGGAAACCCATAGTTGATGAGTAATTAGCATTGAAAAATGTCAGTAAAATCTTTCAAGGTGTCATTTTCTAATGCAGCGTGATTACTCTGCAATCGAATCGTGGACCACATAGTCATAATCAGCAAGCTCAGGAGTACCCATACTGTGATTTTCAGCAAAATCTAATTTTGTCCCAAAAAAGACAACCAAAATGTAAGTCTTAAGCTTTATGTTATAACACCTCTTCCTCTTGTCACCTGTTATCTTAAATGTTAAGGAGGTAGATAACAATGGAAGATATTTTGAATGTTATTGTTCTTGCTGTTGTTATTCCTATCTATTATTATCATTATTATTATTATTATTATTATTATTATTATTATTATTATTATTATTATCATTATTATCTTATTATTATTACTATCATTATTATTATTATTATTATTATTATTATTATTATTATCATTATTATTATTATTATCATTATTATTATTATTATCATTATTATCATTATTATATATATCTATTATTATTATTATTATTATTATTATTATTATTATTATTATTATTATTACTGACAACGGGACCTGATGAACTGGGAGTATATAATTAACCTGGTGACCTGGTAAGTGTATGGTAAAGGACCTGTTGACCTTTGAGGTATGCCAGGTGATGCGTATAGTGACGCAGGTGGCACAGGACCAGGTAGAGCACCCTCGGGTCCCCGGATCCCCCCCCCCCCGTCCGAATCAGGCGTGACTTGGGTAGTCAATTTGGCTGTCAAGAGAATACTCGGGATTAGGTGAGGTTAGGTTAGGTTAGCTCTGTTTTGTGTTATGTGTCATATGTCAGGTGTCATATGTCGTGTCAGGTGTCAAGTGGTATTATCCTGAACTATTTCAAATCAAAGTTAATATAAATGAACTTTAAACTGAATTCTAAAATATTCGATAACTGATTTTTTTTAATCTTTTGTTCTCTCGTCTCTTTCTCTAGGTCAATCATTCTTTCTCCACCTTTATCTCTCATTATCTGATTCTCATTTCTATTGTATATATTTATAACCTCTTTTCTCTCTCACTTTATCTCTTACCAACATGTTATATGCTTGTCTTTGTGAGAGAGAGAGAGAGAGAGAGAGAGAGAGAGAGAGAGAGAGAGAGTATACCAAGGTCACTAGTTCACAGCTAATATGCCCCAGGCTTCTCACACTCTCACCTTGATTACCTTCGCTCCCAACTCTTTCTAAATATTCTCACCTGAACTACATAACTCGCCTCCAGCCCGACGTGTCACCCTTTCTGACATTTACAATCTATCGTTAAATCTCTAGACTCAAGGCTAAAAGACACAGACAGACAAAAGCTTCAACAGACACCAACAACGACAATAATAAACTATTTTCTGTTCTTGTACATTTAACACAAACAAGAACAATACATAATTCCTAGATCAAACACCTACGCGTATATCCAGAATAATTAAAACAAGTATATAAATTAATATATATTTTTGAGGGATTATCGTGTCTATAACTCGGATATATAGACACACACATAGGCACATATTTCCAGGTTTGTCTCCCTTGATACTACGTTGTTATAGTATCATTATTATTGGTGGATTTTACGTCACTATTACTTAATAGGATTACAACAGGTGGAGTTTACAACTATCAGAGGAGGAGGAGGAGGAGAAGAGGAAGAAGAGGAAGAAGACTGGTGGGTAGGAGGCGAGGCTAGTGGTGAGCAGTAGAGAGACGTGTAGGTTACGGTGAAAATAATCCTAATTGGGAAACAGTTTCAGAGAATCCTATTACTCTCAGTTCGCTGCATTAGTAAAGATGGTTCTCTCTCTGTCTGTCTGTCTGTCTGTCTGTCTGTTTGTCTATGTGTGTGTGTTTGTGTGTGTCTCTGTATACGGCTCACTGTCTTTCTCTGTCTGTTTGTGTGTCTCTCTCTCTCACTCTCTATCTCTATCTCTCTGTCTGTGTCTCTCTCTCTCTCTTTCCCTCACCTCTCCACCTTCATCTTGGAGCATTAGTGAGGAGGTCGACCATTCCCTCACAGCTATAGAGAAGTTTGTCACTGTGTTTGATGTCTCCCTTCATGTACACTCACTCCCTACACCTCAATGGGTTCCTTGAGGTGGTGAACAAGTCTGTCGTAATGGGTCAAAATGAGCCACTACTTCTAATGGGTTTCAGTGCTAATGGGTACTAGTGCTTATGGGTACTAGTGGTAATGGGTTCTAGTGCTAATGGGTACTAGTGGTAATGGATACTAGTGGTAATGGGTTCTAGTGCTAATGGGTTCTAGTTCTAATAGGCCCCGGTTCTAATGGGTCTCGATTCTAATAGGCCCCAGCTCTAACGAGCCCCGTTCATATTAAACCCAACAAAAAAACCAGCTAAACCGGCCACGAACCCCAAAACCCCACTGGCAAAAACACTCTCCTATCGTTGGTGTTCACAGATTCATAATTTATGCTTCACCAATACAGCATCGAGAGCGAGAGTGAAACTATTATCGGTCATTACCATTAATCAAAGCCAAAGTTAATCGGCACCTGTCACTCTTCCTCTCCCCGGAATTAGTTATCCCCGCTACTAAGGTTCCCGTTTTCTATGATATAGCCACTTGATTAATGTTAATAGCATCTACCACGAACAAGATCGCTGTACTTT